TCATCCTGCTTCTGCATCAACACGCCGCCAGTGGCGTACCCCGAGGCGTCAACCTCAATGCGCGTCTCCCGATTAGGGTCGTACAGCGCCAAGACTGGAGTCGTCGCGAAGAGCCGCTTGAGCTCATCGAAAGCGTGCTGTTCTTCTTCGCCCCAATGCCATGGGTCGTTCCCTGTGAGTCGGTCGAGTGGCCGCGAGATCTTAGCGAAGTCCTCAATGAAGCGGCGGTAGAAGTTGGAGAACCCCCGGAACTTCTGAACATCTTTCTTGTTCTGGGGTACTGGCCACTCATTAATTCCTTTAAGCTTCGCGGGATCCATCGCCACCTCATCGCCACCGAACACATAGCCGACGTAGTCGACCTTGGGAACATCCCATTCGCACTTCTCAGGCTTCAGGAATAGATTGTTATCCTGAAGGCGACGAAGAACCTCGCGTGTGACTTTCTCGTGCTCCTCCTTGTTGGTGGAGAAGATGAGTATATTGTCTAGGTACACGAGGACCTTGCCACCGACGATGAGATCGTGGAAAATCTCGTTCATCATCGCCTGGAAGGTCGCGGGGGAGTTGGTGAGACCGAAGAACATCACCAAGGGCTCGTACAACCCTCGATTAGTCACAAACACCGCCTTCCACTCGTCACCGGCTTTGATTCGGACGTTGTTGTACCCCCATCGGACATCGAATTTCGTGAAGAGCGTAGCGCCGCGGAGCTTATCCACCATCTCGGCGATCAACGGCAAGGGGTAGCAATTTTTGACCGTGATCGCGTTCAGTCGGCGGTAATCCTGCACGGGTCGAAGCGTCCCTTCCTTCTTTTTGATGAAGAAGAAGGGGGACGAGATTGGTGACTTCGACTCCCGTATGTAACCTTTCGCTAACTGCTCCTTTAGGAATTTGTCCAATTCCTCCTGCTCGTTATTCGATAATGGGTATACTTTCGAATGGAAGGTTGAGTAGCCGGGCACGAGTTCGATCGCATGATCGTAAGGCTTCCTTTCAGGTAGCCGTTCTGATGCTTCCTTGGAGAAGACATTCAGGAACTCGTGGTACTGTTTAGGTACCGACTCCTCGGCAGTCTTAACGACCTTCTTCTTGATCTCTTCCTCAGCGAACAGCTGGGAATATGTATGCCCGGCTGCGACGAACAGCTGAGGAGCGCCGGGAAGCGTGATACCCTGCTCCCAGGCTTCGATCAAGTCGGCCTCATCCCATTCTACTTCCGTCAGACCCTCTTTGGGTTCGAAGTCCGGGAGCACCTTGCTCCGACAGGCGCCGATGATCGACCGTTTGGATTTCGGCGAATGCCTGCGCGCCGTGGGCCTGTCCCCCGTGTCACGCGCAGTCGCTGCTTGCTCCATTCGGCCAGTCTTCCTGGCACTGCACGTCTCAGGGCATCGTGATAATTTCAGGGAGCCTGACTCCCAATCGATTTCAGGGTTGTGCTCTCGCAGCCAATCCAACCCGACAATCACATCTTCTGGACCTATGTCCGTGACTGTGAACACCGTCTTCTCGACGTGATCTCCTATTTGCATCTGTAGCACAGCTACCTCCGAGATGCTTCCGTCTTTATTGAGCGTTCCATCGATGTTGTAAAGTGGAATTGGTTCTTTCAATTTCCGCGTTCGTACTCGATTCTCCGTGATGAAACGCTTGTTGATGAACTTCGTAGTGGCTCCGCTGTCCACCATTGCAACTATATCCTTGTGCCGTCTTTCTCCTTTGAGGCGTATTGGAATGTGGAAGTGCTGGGACCCATGGTTCAACTCATACACATTCGCAGTCGCCAATACATTGTACAGATTGTTATTACACGGCCCGACGCGTGCGGCACGAAGCGCGGACCGGATCAAAAACCCTCCTCCTTCATCGCCCGATAATGCTCGAGCTCCTCGCGCATTGACTTCACCTGTGCCATTAAGTCCGCCAGCTCCGATTGCTCGGATTTCGCTGAAGCGGCACTTATACTTGCTGAGGGTGATGTCATGACGGGGGCGCTTGTCGCGGCCTGGGTGGATCCCGAGGCAACCGTAGCCCGCGCGTCGGCGCGTTTTGTGTAAGGCTTGTCCTTACAATTGGGGCACTCGAAGCGTCGGTACCCTTGCTTCCCACAGCCGAAGCAT